TCCAAAATGCACCTGGCAATATGGCAGTGAAGGGAATTGATGCTTATTGCTCACTTGGGATCATCAATGAAGTTGTCATTGCCCTTTCCAACCCACAACTGTTTCAAACTTAATTACTCTATTGTATAAATACTGTGTTTCATTTTTGAACAAACTTTTTTACAGAAACAGCTGCTGTGGACCAACATGGACCCCTTTATTAATTAAAATTGATGCACCTTGAATGCTTCAAGAAAATTTTACAATTGATAATCCTGTACAGTCAACCCTTTTAGAATGGACTTACTTTATTTAACAGCCTAGTCTGTTGTGTGAAGAGTCTGTTATGCAAAATCAATTATTAAAAATTAATTTTATACTTATTACCATTAATTTTAAACCTCCAGAGGTCTGTTATGCAGATTTTTTCCTTGGTGTCAGAGGAAAAACTGGTCTGTTGTGCAAAAATCTGTTGTGCAGGACATGCAGGGACTGACTGGATTTACTCAAGTACAAATTAATCAGGGGGAAAACCACCACAGCAGAAAAAGTCCAGCAAAAACCAGCAACCCCCCCCCCCTCCCAAATTTGATACTTCTGGCACCAAGATGTCTTTGACTTGACTTTTTTTGGGTCATTCGCAGGCCTCAAACTTTGCCTTGTCATTGATCACAGTACTGGATCAGGGACAAGACAACATAAATTTATAAAAACTTATTTTCACCCCAAGCCTATCATCATTCCACTGCTCGCTTTTGTTTGAAACAGTTGTGTCCAGAAAAAAGCTTTGCTGAGTGGTTTAGTGTTTGTTCTTGTTTTTGAATTTCTGTTCTTGAAAGATTTAAAAATCTTTTGGGACAATTCAAAATACAATCTAAATTTATGATGAGAAATTATACTGAGAATCCCCAGCCCTTGTCCCAGGCTGAGTTTGTTTTTTGCTTCCACTATTGTTTCTATCCACAGCCTTTATTTGCATACTTGTGTTGTGGTGACCTTTGTGGGGTTTGTATAGTACACTTGGAAAAAAAGAGATATTTAACTCACCCTTTTTACCACACGCGTAGTTTCTGACCAATAAGTTCTTCAAAATTTTTTCAAAGTTTAGATTTGCATCATATTCATTTGTAATGGAAAATTTTGGACCAATTTTATCAGGAATACGGTTTGAAGAGAAGCAATTTTCTCATGGAAATATTTGAAATTTGTTGATTTCAAGATCAATTCATGTCTAAATTCAAATTGTGGCAGTTTTACTTTTTTAAATGCTTCAATTTTAGAGTCACTAAAAATGGGGAGCATGAAATTTTATAACAAATTTTGACTGAAAAACCTTGGTGTGCATCTTACTCAAATGACACGTGATACTCAAGTACTTTGCATAAATATGGTTCTATGCTCCCAGTTATTTGTTTCTTTCTCATTCTTGAATTTGTCATGCATTACAAACTGTTCCAGGCATTAGGCATATTGAACTCAGAATCAACTTTAAACTCAACTTACAACCTAAATAAAAATCATGGGAAACAAAAAAAGGGTTTGCTGGCTGGGCCTGTATTATAAACCATTGAAGAAAGCTTAAAAACATACAATTTGTTGCTTGGAAAGTACGTCAGCAGAGGCAACGGTTAGGCAAGATCCCAATTTATGAATAAACATTTTTTTCATATTGACAGAATTGTAATAAAGAATTACAAAAGGAGGCAAAAAAGGTGAAACATCCAAAAATAAAACACATCATTCAGCTGTGGGGTTCAGCTGGGGATTTCCTTAAGGAAATCCGAAAAGATAAAATATAATTTCATTTCTTTACCTTTCACCTTTTCCAGATGTTTCACCTTTTTCGCCTCCTTTTGTAATTCTTTATTAAAAGAATTGTTTGTCGAAGGGGAAACCAAACATGGAAACCAAATTTCCGCGCTACCCCAGCAACAACAAAAAAAA